TTAAATAATACAATTTTTAGTACACTGCTGACTGCAGGACGCAACACGACACGTCCGATTTAAATAATTTTGTTTGAAATAAATAACTTTAATTAGGCTGATGTATTTTTAATTAATGTATCAAGAACTGTTTACTATTATGATATTTTAAGTAAAGGTTTTTAATTGTAAATAGATTTTAAATTTGCAATAAATAGAAATAGTTACTTTTGCGATAAAATTGTTTAATACAGTATATATTTCATTTATAAGTAAATTTTCGCACAACTTTACGAAAATGAAAGCTATTGTTTATAGTACGTTTTGATTTAACTGTTTTATTTTGTCAATATGATGACTCCTACGTAGACTATCCTAAGTCAAAACTTTGCGATTTATACCTTGTTATTTATTTTTTAAATTAACTTGATAAATAATAATTTCTGTGGAAATTTGAAAGAAGTACTAAAAAAGAACTATCAATTTTTGTTTCTTTTTATGTTTTGGTTTAATAAAATATTTACAGTTTTCGTCTTGCAAAATTGCATTTCAAACATACGATAGTTTACGTAGGAGTATACAACAAAATTATTGTTGTTCCTCATATTCTTTTTGAATTACCAGAGACAAAAATATGTTATAAGATAATTATTACCGTAGCAATTTCATCATAACGATTAAACAATTATTTTGAATTAAATGTAAAGACAAACAAGGATGTCTGGCCCGATGAGAAAGGCACTATTATCCTTACCTCTGTCAGAAAATAGGAAACTTAATAAAGCATGCAGTTATAATTGAATAATACACGAAATCTACAGTACGAAACGGACGAAATCTACAGTGACAACGTTTTGATTTAGACTGAAGGTCGCTAGTAAGTTATCATAATTTGCTTTGATGCCCACCGGGTCAGATGTCCTTGTCGGTCTATATGTTGTAATTACATGTGATATGTCTGTAACTCGATAAAGTGATGTGAGCCAATAACTTTAAAATTCTTAATGCCACTTCAAAGATATCTGTCACTCAAATGATGATCTGTTAAATCTTTTTTGATCGTTTTAGTATTGTGTAAACGGTTCTTTACAAGTGGTTCGAAGGTGTCGGGTTTGTTTGTAAGTTTTATCAGAACAAGGGGACTTTATCAACAAAAGTATGTTTTTAAGATTATTGGCATTGTAATTTGAATTACGTTAAAATCGTGTGTATGTGTGTATCGTGTGATTTGTATGGTGTGGCATATTTGCTGAAATTATTTCATCTAAGTAAATTCTCTGCGAAATTATCTCGAAGTGCCCTTGCGGCCGGCGGCCCGGCGAACTGTTCTCAGAATTTAACTTTAAGACAAAAAATTACATACATATTGTACATTGTGAACATACAAGTAATTGATATTATATCACATAAGGAAATGGTAAAGTAATCTTATTGTAAACTAGCATTAATCGAACAAGAAACTTATTATCATATAATTGTTGTCTTTTATTTTACTTTTATTTAATCATCAAATCAACTGACGCCCGATGCACAAAGGGTAATCATTACGGACATATTTGTTGCAGTTCAAACACACCTTTGCCACCTCATCCACATTCATACATCTTAAAACCATCTTTTTAACCATACAAACATGCTAATATAATAACCATCTTGTAAATAAGTCTCGACTTTCACCTCAATATGTTTTCTTAAAGACACTTTTACTGTTCGAAACATATTAATTTCAACCTTCCTTTTCTAATCAGTGTAGGTCATATATAAGCTATGAGATATGTAAATCATACGATGGTAAAAGCAGATACGATAAGGTAAGTAAGGACCTAAACATTGATGTTATCTGGACATTCGGATGAAGTATATGATATTTATCAGTAAACGTAATTTGGAATGTACCATGTTGACATATGTTAGTGGAGAGATTCAACAGCTTGCCGACAACAACGACTTAAAACAGACTAATGTGGGAATCGGTTCGTGTTATTGTCATCGGCAAATCTGTCTGTCTGTCAAAAAACTGATTACATTTTTCACTCCATTGCTCGTTTATCCTCTCATCATTCGTCATTAACATCCTTAGGTCGTCCACTGCTGAAAGTAGGCCTTCCCCATAGATTGCAATGATGCCCGGTCCTGTGGCACCATCCAGTGCACTTCCGTAACCTTGACCAGTTTATCCTGTTGTTAATTGAAAATACACAACTTTATCCTCATTATCTCTATATAATTATTACATTAGTACTTTTGCGTATGTCGATATGTAACTTTTACAATACCACAGGTACTTTTACTTCGATCAAACAAAAAACAATAACTTTGTTATCTTAAGTAAAAACCTTCTGACTCACAGATATGTCAAGTTTCTGACGTTATCTAGAGCCTACTAATGCATAAACGAGGCTTAAGTCTCATACATAACATACTTTTAACACGAACAGTATCTACATAGGTATTGGAAATTCAAATTTGCCGAATCATTGATCGGACCACAAGTAAAGACAATGATGTAATAGGAATTTGCTTCAGCCAGCACACAAATGATGTAGAATAAACAATGTTTACTATTTATTTACATTTAAATTGATATATTACAACATGTGAATAAAAAAAGATTATTTTTTACTCAACACAAGATTCTTCAAGGTTCTCTTCTTTATTTCGAACAAATGACTCCTGTATAAAATATGTCACATTAAAACTGTTCTAACCAACCAGTCTTATATTGCAACCTTTGTTATACACAAATCAGGTCTCATTTAGAACATGATGCTAATGATAAAATATGTGAAAGAGGATATGCTTAGAATGCAGGAAATTTAGATATGACGGCTGAAATACATATGTTCATAGATAGAAGAGCAGTACATACTGTACCGACTCTCTGTAAGGTCAACAGCAGTATGATGATGAACATATCCAGTTGAACCTATTGTTATAAATCATAGAACGAGCTTGATTTTCCTTCTCTTTGCTACACTTTTCCAATAAGAAAAGAATAAGAAGGGTGAATGGATTTACCAGGGTATTTTTTCTTTATTTATTTTTGTCAAATACAACGCATCTGGAACCCTTCAGTTTGTTACAACATGTTTAAGAGAGGTATCAACTTATTTACTTCTTGCTCATTTACCATATTAAAGTAAAAATCTAACAATAGTAAAATAACGATTGTTTACAAAAATCTATTAGTAAACATCCAAAGGCTGTTTTCTGTACTTGCAGCAAAACAAGCAAGATGCAACAAAGTATTAATATTAAATTGGTTTATAAAAGAAAGTAACCTGGTAATTGAATATAAGACATTTTTAAACAGTAAACTGGTTTAATAAGCATAATAATCATTTTATTTAATTACATGAGGCGAAGATAATATAATTTAAAAAGAAATTGGCATACATTTGAAATAATGGAATGTGATATTCTAAAAGAAGAAAAGATAATGGTAACAGACCGAAATTGAAGTCAATATCTTACTTACAGGAATTTGCCAATGGAAATTCATTGTAATAAATATTTGCTTACATCCTCCAATTAAGAAATATTACGTTTATTTGAATAACAGTTGATATATCTCGGGATGTATGTATGTAAATATGTTCCAATATGACTTAGCAATAGTTACTTGTACCGCTGCGTTCCTACGGGTAAGAAATTTGGTTCCTTTGGAGATCACGGGACTTTCCCGTTGCATTCGAAATGGCCACTGAGGGGTTTTTGTTAGTCAAGTCACACATAACCCTGTCTTTTCCCCAGAAGGGTCTTTGTCGAAGATTTCCCCCACGATACCAAAAAAAGCTCTAAACTTTTTAATATTAAATGTACAGTCCACAACAATTTATTTAACAGTTTGTATGTAGAAATAGAAGATAGGATATGTGCGAATGTTTTGAGACTTTCCTGAGTTATGATTGACGTTACTGTTATCTCATTTCGCAATTTTGTAAATTGATACGGGTTTTAGTTGAGATAAAAAAGAAACCTTCCTTGGTGTCATTAAATGATGAATTGCCAGATTTTTAAATGTTTATTTAAAAGAATATAAAATAAATCACAAACTGACTCCTCTATCAAATATGAGTACCTACTTTCGAATAGACTTTGCTTAAAAATTATTATCAAAGGAATTGAAATTAGGAATGTTATTTTTAATATAACTTTGATTTCAATGTTTAATATTATATTAACGTAAAAGATTATATGAATAAAAGTATGCGAGTTGTGATGCATGATAATTACAAGAAGGAACTCATGGTTAATTAAAACAGCCCTCAAAGTACCGACAGAAAAATTGCCCCATCTGACGGAAACATCGTACAAGAGATGCAACTCTTTTTGTCAGATGTGTCGAAATGTCAATTATACAAAGGATGAAAAAGCATAGATTATGTTTCGTAGTGAACATCAGTCTTGTATTTCATTAGTGAGATTTTGTTCAGACCAAAGATGTTTTATGTAACAAATGTTGACATTGAACAAACTAGACCATTGTTATCTATCGCACGAATTTCAGGTGAAAAACTTGCAAAGTGACAGCTAGTTTGTTTTTTGCGAGCGAATGTTGCGATTGTGGTATTTACACAGAATAATAAGGAAAAGAATCAGACGAATAAAAACTGTTAAACGAAATTTATTGTAAAAAAACTTATTACATTGATTACAAATTGTTTACAAATTTTAAATCAAACATTCTTGTTGATATTTCAAAGAACTATAAAACTTATATTAATGAAAAAAAATACCAACAAAAATTGTTGTTAAAAAAACCGTTAATTAGAATTACAATTACAAGTGCATTCCAAACACAGACAAGCATAAGTTGTTGCTTATTATGAGAATGTGTACATACAATATATAATTTCGTAAATCAATTATTTCTTTGCCAGTAACAGGCGCTATAGTAAAGTCTATAATAATAATAAAAACAATATCGGCTCGATACAAACGTATTGAATGAAGATGATAACGTCAATCAGACTGATAGCAAGATGTTCCAAAACTACGCAAAAGTACGCAAAACATTTCAGTTAGAAAACTCTCGTATACAAAGAAGATCGACTTTACTCGATGAAAAACATCATATCCAAATAGTGAGTATAAATTCAAAACTTTTTTTTTTTTGTTTTTAAGTATAATTTAAAAGTAGAAAACATATCAACGGTATTTTCAATAATATTAAATGAAGTATAATAAAATAAATATAATTGCTTTTTTTAATATCAATAAAATTAAAATAACAGTTCTCTGTTTACAAATTAAAGAAATAATTAAAAAAATAATGTTACTTTATGTTAAAACTCGTTAGGTCATATCCTTTATTGCGGTAAAACTATAGAATTTACGTTTATTTAGGACTTCATATGCGTTTGTCTAGGGCCTTGTGTTATGTGTACTATTTACTGCATTAGTGATGTGCTTTATTACAAGACCAAGTTGAATTTTATTTTCATATCCTAGGAAACCTCCAGGGCGACATAGTAAGATATTTTATCATAATTCTACTAAATAACAATTTAATATTTAATGAATTATTTAACAATTCAGTAATTAACTAACCTTTAATTCTAGAGTTGAACTCTTGAATAGCAAATCAATTAATTATAGAGGCCCGTTGGAAACTGGTTACTTTAACGGGTTGAAATGAATTCCTGGTAACACTGCTTTACAAAGTACTAACAAAGTTTTTAAATTAAGTATTTCCTTTAGAATGAAAAATTATTTAAAAATTCTGTTTCTATTACTTTTTCCCGTCTCCGATAGAATGCGTTTTTAACCAATGTATTGAATTGCATATTTGGTTTTAACAAAACAATGGCCGATAACATTTTAATTTGAATCTTATATTTAAATGTCAAATTTAGTTTTTACGATATAATGTTTAGTTAAGACTACAACGTAATCGTTAACGCACGTCACTAGCTCGAGTAATTCCATCACAAACAATTCCAGCTACCACATTTGTAAAGACTTAGTGCTTCGAAGCATGTGCTACCGTTTTGATTTTACGTGAAGTGATATCAAATTATAGTGAAATTTGTGCCTTTTTGTAAGTATTTTATTTTCTTAAATTATAAATGTAATATTTAAAAATGTATAAGTATCTCAACTTATAATATTTAGTTATTGTATTACTAAGTTAAAAGGATTTTTTAGGTTTTCTAAAAATAATTTCTTAAGTTAATAAAAAGTAAGCATAATACGTAAATAAAAATATCTATTCACGATTTTCGTGCTTGTGAGTATTTTGACTATATCTGTGTTTTATAGCGATTATTTATTAAAGAAAATGTAACAGCATAATTATAATAAGACAACACATTACAATTAAATTAATCAGACAAATTTATTTATCTTGTGTAATTTACGGTGTTAGTGGACTGTTTCTAATATAATCTATACTATTATAAAAAAGCGTAAACACACACTTCTTTGTTGCCTAAGACGTCAGCAATTACAGCGTATTTATGAATTTTTTTTTAATAAATAGCCATACACCTACGTCACGCTTTAGGCTATATATTTTCACGGCGTTAAAGTTAGGGGGTAAATATTTTGGATATCAACCCCAATGTGGGAAAGAGACAATAGGTTGTTGCCAACATCAAGGAAGCAAGGTTGCCTTCGTTTGACTTCATGTCATGTCATTTTGACATTTACAATTGATAATTTGACAAATGAATTTTATGCGGATGAAGCACGGAAACAACTAGTTTCTTCTATAAAGAACTACTACAGATTAGGTAATTCAAAAGACATTACTTAAAAAAGTATTGAATAAAATGTAAAGAGTTTGACATTATCAATATTGGAATTTACGCGGGAAATAGACCAAAAACTTATAGATAATGTCACAAACCTCCGATCTAAAGAATTACCTATTTATTACGTTTCGTTTCTCGATTGAGCTGCTGTAAGATAAGATCGGGAAAATGTTAGAATTTAATATGACTTTTACAATAAAACTAAACCCGAAAGCAAAGTTTAATTTATGATCTTGGATGGCATTCGTGGATTGGTTTTACAATTTAACAATAGAATTCTATACTTCCTTGAAAATTCTTTATGCGGAAAAACAATCACGAATATTAAGTTAACAGTTAGTTAAAATATAGAATTGAAACTTAACATTTACTTAAGTATTTATTTATTAATTAAATGTTAATTTTTTTTCAACCCAACTGTGACACTAAAAGGAAACAAATCGGATTAGATTTCACTTGTCAAAATAGGTTTGTTCGTTCCCGCTACAGGTTTACAAAATTGACAAACATAAAACCGTTTCGAGAACGACCGTTCATTCTTTCAATAAAATCTAAAACATTCGAATAGTTACGGAACCATCAAGTCTTTTCATGGATCTTGAAATATATGAGAGTGCGACATTTTGTCAGTCCTTGGTAATGATATTGTTAACAGTACAATAATACGTTCCGCAGTATCTTATCTGATACAGTAGTAAGGCTATGGTAAACCAAAGCCTCGACATTGTTTTTATGACTTTCATTCATACTGAGATTGAGATTCTATCTGCAAATGATAACATTTATCGATGTAGAATTTTACCGCGTTAACCAGCAGATGTGAACGTCATGTAAGATTTTTTTATTGTCCATCGTAATAATAATGTATGACTTGAATCCGTTGAACACATTCCATTTCATTAACCCTGACAAGCACGGTAAACATTTTTTTTCCGGTAAGCGGTTGATCTAACTTTACGTCAAACATTTCAAATATCGTCCAAAGTGTTAACTGAACACATTTTCAAACAGTTTGACATAAAAATTACGAAAGAATGACGGAGACCCTTTAAGAGCGTAAACCAGAATTAAAAGCTTATTTCATCTCTAAATTCGAGAAAGGCTCGATCCGCGTTTCGACGTACATGACCTGGTTTTTTGGTAATTGTAGAAGATTTTCCTTATGACATAAAATAATGCCCGACCTCAATGCGAAGTTACTGACCTTTCTTATTGAGGATAACCAATGTTTTACATTTTTTATTGATATCATTGTTTATATAGATTTTCGAAATCCTCTAAAAATGTCATCTTGATTTTTATTACAACTTGGAAGTATCTGATTACGTAAATAGATCTATTTTCATTATATTGTTTCCAAAAATTGTATCCTTATCCAGATTGATGGAGTTTTTAGTTTTTCCCCTATATTAAGAACAGCTAGGGTAAATTGTTAAAAATCTTAATTTTTTTTTAAAAAGCTATTTTTTTCTAATCGATATATATTGTACCCATCATCTATATCGATTTTTAAAAAAAAATATACTAAAAAATAAGAACAAGTAGTGTCATAATGATGACGAAAAACAATACATTTTATGGGGTAGTGTTTTTACCAACTATTATAAGAATTTCCAACATTGATTTCTTTTTTTTAAATTGATCTGACATGAAGATAATGTTGTTTGTCACGAAGATGGCTGACCTTAGACTCGAAAACAACCTTTAGGTTATTGCTCTTATTTTCCCTGTAGTATATTTGAACAAAGAATAAGTTATTGATTTTTCCTTGGACGTATCACATCAGATAAGGAAAGGCGAAAATAAAAATCGAACATCAAGTAAATATTATATTACTTAGTTCACTTGCTAAATGCAAATTTTGAAATTAAATTGTGGTTCATCATCATCATCCACTTGCCCTTATCCCTTATGGAGGGTCGGCACACTATGTGCTGCTTTTCCATACATCTCTATCAGCCGTCATATCTAAATCCACTCCTTTCTTAAGCATATCTTCTTTCACACAATCCATCCATACTTCCTTCGGTCTTCCTCTTCCTTTGTAGCCATCCACATTCAATCTCAACACTTTCTGGTTTATGTCCCCATCATTTCGTCGCATAATATGTCCAATGATAATAATATAAATATATATGATAATAATGATAATAATATGAAATTAGATTGTGGTTAGAAATTAAAAAAAGAGTAGCTGAGAAATGTATTTGTACGAAGTTCAAGAAAACAGTGCGAGCAAAATATAACTCGAGCCATGACACTCTTATTCTCCTTTAACACCGATAAACGTTTTTAATTAATACGCCAATTAATTCAAAAGATAGGAATTAAAACTTAAATTGCAATTAATAAGCAAAATAATTACACCATTATCTTAAAAATTAAATACAAATTAGTAAAATGCAAATATATATACTAAAAGACAAACATTGTAACGTGTTCAAATGTATCGATAAATAAAAAAATATACATCCGTTATTGATTGTTTAAATTAACATGAGGTTAAAGTAAAGCTTTTTGCAGCGACAGATAAAAAACATAATCCGTAACCGATAGGCGTTTAATCAATTATGCCAATTCTTAGAGCGCGCGCACACCGTTGATTAAACTATCGCACAACTGTTGTGCGATTGTCGATTGTTTCGAAGCCAATTCAACTGTTTTGTTGCACAACTAATAGTCACCAATATGTGTATCTCCATATAACCTATTAGGAATCAAAGCGTGACTAAACAGTTCTGCAATAGTTTAGTCAAAGTTTTGTGCACTCTCTTACTTGACATTGGCTTACGTATATTTCGTATTAGATTTCAGTTTGACATAATTCAAGACAACGTACTTATATTATCAGAGCCTTGTAGAGATATAGTAACATTAATGATAACGAGAAATTATACTTTTCACCTCAGTTGGTCCTTGGCGAGAGTTGTCAACCTTCCTTGAAAGAATCACAGTCGAATTGTTTCCGGATTTTTTTTCCGTTTAAGATAACTCATTGAGAGCTCTATTGACGGTGACATGAATAATGACTACCCTATAGGCATTCTTTATACCAACCTTATGTCTACAGTAATAGAGATTAAAATAGTCTAGTTCTTTTAAAAAAACAACTTACTCGCTCGAATACACACCATCAGAGAATTTTTTCCTTATTCAAAGTTTATCAAATAGTCGTCATCTGAATATCCCACAAGTACTGTTGTCTTAGCCATTAAATGTGGCAGTTGTGGTAAAAATCAATAGACATAAAAATCGATGGGTTCGAATGAAAAACATGTGCTTGATATAAGTGGTTTTGTTGATTTCAGACAAACAGATAGCACAATGCTTGCAGGATGGAGACTGGCTTTGTCAAAATGTGAGTAGAGTTCTCAAATGCTAATCTAAACATATAATAAAACTGGAGTATCTGTTTGTAATATCAAAAGAAAAATTTCAAATTTCGGGAAGATGATGTTTGGCGTTGCTGATAACGAAAATCGCATATAAAAATATTTGTCTGTCTGTCTGTCCGCAAGCCGCGTTTTTTTTCCGAGTTATCTCCGAAACGGTTGGGCCGATTTCGACCTGACTTTCACTGAAGGGTAGCTGACATAGACGGTCATATTATGGGCTGCTTCTTATCTTAATATTGTGTGGACGAAGTCGCGGGAAACAACTAGTTGAAAATAAAAGCGTGCTTTTAAGATTTGTGATGGTAAGGCATGCTGGTACGATTTGTGATAACGCAATATTTAGTTTGCTTAATACTTACTTGAATTCATAATAAAGATAGATAAATACACAATTTAATTTATGAGCCTTGGCTAAGTGGAAATTTATGTTCACTTATGGTTTAAATTTTACTACTTCCAATAAATATTACAACGCTATTTAATCGAATCGTATGTCTTTTAATAAAGGAATTTTTTGTATTTAAACGCTTGAAGATTTGGTTGTCACATAAAAGTGTGTTATCTTTTACAGTATTCATAATACCTCAACGGTATGTGTTGGCTATATTGGCATTACTAGCTGTCGCCAATGCGTACACGATGCGCGTCTGCCTGAACCTCGCCATCACTCAGATGGTGAAGCGGACGGTGGCTGTGGAAGGTGACGCTCATTATGACCCGGACGCCTGTCCGGATATGAACGTGGTGACGAACAGTAGTGCAGTTGAGAGTTATCTAAGACGGGACGAGGTATGTATTGCAAATAGTCCAGGAAAAACAGTAGAGAAGCACTAGACGCACGCCTTAGTGTAGTTTTTTAGTAGCAAGATTAACCAGTAAACTTGCTAATAGAAAATTCTTAGAAGAAATCTTTGACTTTAAGTTCTTAACATTAAATTTATAAAAATAGTCCATGATGACCATATACTTAGGGCTTGTCACACCACTGACTGATATCTTAAAAATGTCACTGTCAGATAAGGAAACAAAATCCGATATTTCCATCACATTTTTACACGTAGGATTGTTATGAGACAATTTATAATTTGGTGGGACAGACCCTTAATGTTACTGGTTATTGGTTGATGAGTGTGAAATAGTTACAAGGAAAATCTCAAATGTGTTCGAAAACATTAACACGTGGTTTTATATTTTTTATATTACTCTAATATCGCATTCTAATATTGCTTCCAATAGGTTAACAAAATGATGTAACAATTCTCACAAGTCGTAATATACAAGATAATGCATCCCTCAAGTGCGCGATTTCAAGCCTAAACCTACATACCTTATCTAAATCCTAGTTAAATGCAATATCTTGAAATAAGCTTAAGTAATGATATATAGGTTGCACTTATGATTCTGTAACAAAGTCAAAATGCTACATTTAAATGTAAAAACGGTACGGTAGACCTAGAAAGAGATGGATGGATTGCGTGAAAGGTGACATGATTAAAAAGGGAGTGATGACTGAGATGATAGAGTTTTGTGGAGGACAAAAACCTGATGTGCCGACCCTACGGGAGTAGGATAAGGAGGATGATCATGACATCTAAGAAAATAAATATTTTACTGAGAAACAAAGAAACTCGTAAACCTAATTTCGAAAGAATTCTAATATAAAATGATAAGAGAGATGCTTTTAAAGTTTAAACATTTGATAAAAAAGAAAAAAAAACAAACAAATGTATGTTATGCTAAATTAAGGTTTCCTTCTTTACTTTCAACAGTTACTTTCCTTTTCAGTCGGTTGTTTTCGAATGGAGTGAAGCAACGCAAGGGTTGCTTCTCAGTTCATTCTACTACGGTTACATCTTGACGCACATCCCTGGCGGTATGCTGGCTGAACGGTACGGGGGTAAATGGGTGCTCGGCCTCGGCTTACTCTCCACCTCTATTTGCACGGTTATCACACCAATCACTGTCAAAATGGGAGGAGCGACCGCTCTCTTCATCCTCAGAGTTATTGAAGGTTTAGGAGAGGTAAGTGGTATTACTGCAAATTATCATACTAATATTATAAATGCGAATGTTTAGATGGATGGATGGATGTTTGTTAAAGTTAGTAGCCTGTTGAACGAATCTCGATGAAATTTGGATATGAATATACAAATAGATGTTAGTCTGGAAGAACACGTAGGGTACTTACTTTTGTACCTTAATTACAAGCGGACGGAGTCGCCAGCGAAAGCTAGTACAGACATAATTATCTAAGTAGTGTCCGATATAATTAAATGTTATTGTACTTTGACCTTCCAACCATTTTGGATTTAAAGGATTCGAGATTAAAAAAAAAATCACTTATATGTAATGACACAAAAATTAAAAACGCAGAAATAATTGTGCAATCTAAGGGTAATTTGAATAATCAAATATGAATGTTGCAAAATATATTACGATGTTGTTTTCTATGTTAAAGACGGCTAATGTATGTCGTCGAGTGTAATATTCTATTCAAAGTAATATGTTAAATGCAAAACCTTTACATTTCAATAAGTCGTAAAACGTGAATAAAAGTTATGCAAGATTTTACCGCTTTTTGAACTTGAAAGTGTAATTCAGATAATGCACTTGAGGACTATGTTAATACTTGATGTTTTACATGTAATCAAACTTGATATACAATAGATATAAATGTCAAAAACGTTCGCATATATCACAAATCTTACTAATATTATAAATGCGAAAGTTTAGATGGATGGATGGATGTTTGTTAGAATTTGTAGCCTAAACGGCTGAACGGATTTCGGTGTAATTTAGAACAGATGTAGAGGACAGCCTGGAAGAGCACATAGGCTACTCACTTTTGGTTTTTTTTAGTTCCATGAGGACGGAGTCGCGAGTGGAAGCTAGTGTTTATTATATGTGAAAAATTTATGTCGCAATATATCAAAACTTAGTCGAAGACAGGATTCGAACCTACGATCACGTGTTTGAAGATCAGTTACCTATTAGGCAACTATTAGGCTATTGATCTTAACTCACGCAGCACGAAACTTAGTAGATCTAGGAACAAATGTTAATTTTATCAATTTTTATTATAGGGTCCTACGATGCCAGGATTAATGGTAATGCTGTCTAGATGGTCACCGAAAGAGGAAAGAGGCCGTATGGGTGCCATTGTGTTTGGAGGAGCGCAGATTGGTAACATCGCTGGTTCCTACTTCTCCGGTCTTATCATGCACAATGGTACTTGGGATAATGTGTTCTACATGTTTGGTGGATTGGGTATCGCTTGGTTCATCTTATGGGTAAGAATATAATCTTTTTAGACTAATATAATTGTGTTACATTCGAGTTTGTTAAAAAGATTTTTAAAAGTAATCTTTGAAGATTTTAATCAATCGTTAACACGGTTTTATGTTAATTTAATGTTAATTTATGTGTCTGTTAAGACACAACATAAATTATAATTACTGTGTTTTTTTTTATTCCAGAGTATATTCTGCTACAGTACGCCAAATACACACCCTTACATCTCAGACAAGGAAAAGAAATTCTTGAATGAAAATGTAACCTCGTTGATACACAGCCAGAAGGCTGACTTGGATCCCGTCCCGTGGAAGGCGCTAGTGAGATCAGTTCCACTTTGGTCTTTAATGATTGCTGCTGTAAGTACAAATTACAAAAACAAAGTCATAAATTTTCATTCAAGTTAATTTTTATAAGACTGCCATCTATTGGTTTAAATTTACATTATATACTTTCATTTTGTTGAAATGGTTAAATAGATAGAGTTATTAGAAGTAGTTATTTTTTATACGTCTTTAGAATTTGAAAGGAAATAATTAATCGTCTGTTTTTTTTACAGATTGGTCACGATTGGGGATATTTCACGATGGTTACAGATTTACCTAAATACATGACCGATGTTCTCAAATTTAATATCAAGTCTGCAGGTCTCTTGTCTGCCCTACCATACGTAGCGATGTGGATCGCATCGTTTTTCTTCGGTCTTCTCTGCGACTTCTGTATCAAGAAAGGATATCACAGCCTCAAGAATGCTCGGAAGATTTATACTACCATAGGTATAGTATTTTGTACAATCATTGTAATTAATCAAATTTCTCCAAGATCAGAATCGTTTCAATACTTGCAGCTTTTTATCATAGTTTTGAATAAGGCAATATTCAATGATCTGTACCAAAATTCTAGTTAGATTTCAATTGGTTCTGATATTGCTCATAAACCCAACTCCAGTAGTTCAATGATAAATATTTAGGCTTTGCTTTTACTAGCAAATACTATACCTAATTCACAATTTCTTTTTCAGCCGCCACTGGCCCAGGTATTTGCATCATCCTCGCTTCATACTCCGGCTGTGATACCACTCTGGCTGTGTTTTGGTTCATCTTTGCGATGACACTGATGGGAGCGTATTACAGTGGTATGAAGATCAACGCCCTTGATATCACGCCTAACTACGCTGGTACCACTACTGCTTTAGTGAACGGCATTGCTGCGGTCTCCGGGATAATATCACCGTATTTGATTGGATTATTAACACCAGATGTAAGTTCATTTTCTAGTGTTTTAAATATCTACCGATAGATGGCATGTTTATAAACTTGTCAGTTACGAACTCTTAAGAACAAAAGGGAATGCAATTGGAATTGAATTTCATTATTATAGATTTATTTTAATTAAATACGAGTATAGATTCAGCTAAACTTCAGAAATTTTTTTAATAAAAATTACTAAATAACTATTTACGTATATTATGGTATTTGAAAACTTTCGGGAACTAAAAAGTTTTTCTTTTTCAGTCTACCCTCAAGCAATGGCGGGTAGCATTCTGGGTTTGCTTAGTCGTGTTAGTTGTAACTAACATCGTCTACCTAATATTCGCCGAAGGAGAACAGCTTTGGTGGGACGACGTAAAGAAGCACGGCTATCCAACAGGTTGGAAGCACGGTCCACTGCCCACTAAGTCAAAAGACGCAGAGGATTTAAAAGAAAGTGAAACTACGGAGAAAAAGTGATATAATTATCATAAGTTAGCAAATATGAATATAAGTTAAGTAAATGTTGTTTATTGTTATGTTTTGTATAATAAATTGTTTGAAAATATACTGAGTTTTTTTATTCCGATTTGAGAGAAAATAAGGGAATAATTACTGGGATAAACTTATGTCTTGGTGGAAAGTAAAATTGGAAACTAGAAATTAAAATTAACTAGAAGTATATAGATATCAGATAGTCAATATTAGTTTTTTATATATTTCCGAGGACCCAAGCAGTAGTTACCATTTAAGAGTGAACTTAGATGTAAAGGCTATTGTATGAAAAGTGATACATGCTATGTCAACCTTTCATAAGGAATAGGGATGGGATACGATGAATTTAAATAGTACAGAAAACGCCGATTAGAATCGGAATCGGAGATAGATGGACTATCAGAGGGTAACCTAGTCAATAAATTTCAGTTTGTTATTGACATCAGCGGATACGCAAGCGAAGCTAGTTTCATTCATTGTTCTTAACATTTGTATGTACATGGATAGGCTAAATACTTATTCGATTACCACCAATTTAGCGCTGACGGTTGCGGTTTATTGGGGTTTAACTAGCAGTGAACCTTCGTTCATCAATAAATATTTGCTTGAAGCAGTAAACTGATAAAAACTGAACTAGGCTACAAAATACTACTTTTGTTAATACCTAACTAAACAAGAAATACATTTATTGCCTACATAAGTAT